AAAATAACTGGCCCTCTGAAAAGACTGGATAGGAGTGGGGGAGACAGCAAGGATGAGGAGGAAGGCATCTGCAAAAGTTTCCCATGCAAGCCAATTTCACATATTAGAATTGTGACCAGTCTGGGCACTTCTGACTCCTGGTAGGCAGTGTCCAGAATAATCAGACTCTAGTCTGAATGAAAGAATTATAAAGTGTTAAAGGTTAAAAAGAAAGGCACTCTAATTTCTGTCTAAATTATGCATCCTACTCAAATGTAATGTGTAAGGTACAATGAGAGACAAAATGTCTAAATTAATCTATTTTACACAAATTTTGTTTCTTTAACATGCATAACTATTTTTATGAAGTGCACCATTACACGATGTAAAGCAGCTCAGGCATCCATGTCTTCTACCCCATCTTCAAACAGACTCTATGCAGCACCAGTGTGCTTCAGTCACAGTCATTTTTTAAAGGCCAGGCACTGTGTTGATACCATAAAAACAAAGTAAACAGGACAGAATGATTATTTTCAACAGGCTATGGTAAGGGACACAAATCTATCCTGGCTGCTCATCCTCCCGCAAGTTTTGGCTACCCCAGGGAAAATAATAGCTTTCAAAGTGTTTGACTTACACATCTTAACCTACCAACGTGATAACAAATGTTACAAAAATAAGGAAGTATTTTTGAAAGCTTGCACATTTTTTTCTTAAGTGACTTGTCATGGAGCTGTCAATTGAATTAATGCTTATGAATTTGAAATGTCAGAGAGAAATTAGCTTTCTACTTGAAGTAATAAAATAGTTGTGGAAAGTAATAGTGGTGATGATTGTATAATAAGATAATGTAATTAATGGCACTGAATTGCACACTTAAACATGGTTGAGTGGTAAATTATGTGTAAATTATATATACTTATAAATTATATATGTACATACATATATATATATTATCACAACAAAAAGATTGATGGTGACAAATGCCCCATCCCCTTGGAGAGATGTATTTTTTGATTCCCTTATTTAGCTATCTTAAATAAATCCCCCATTTTTTGAGAAGAGGTATCTGTTTATTTGAAATTGATCTAGGAAATACAAAAGTCCAGAGCTTCCTTAAGAAAGTAACAAAAACCAAGATGGATTACACAGTCCATAATTATTTCAAATAGACAAACCTTGATCCACAACACCTCCTTTTCTCATCATCTGGATTTCTTTGTTCATGAAGCATCTCCAAAAATTCACTTCCACTGGGACTAAGTATAACAGGTAGTGTTCCAATACCATATTTCTAATACTTGTCCGCAACTGTTTTTGTCCTGTTCTTTAAAGGATTTCATCTAAACTACATAGTATATGTAAGGATCAGTTGTTTGGTCACGCTGCTGCCTTCATTATTTGATGAGATCAAATTATGTCCCCTGTATTTCACAGCATAATTTGGAAAATCATAACAAGGTCCCAGTGGTTCAGTGAGTCCCCAACAGGGATCTCACCAGGCCCTGCTATTTCCCCTGGAGATAGTTCTGGCCTCTGAAGGGCATCAAATCTTTCAAGTCCTTGTCATTGACACTCACTAATAAAATGGGTCATCTTACACTTACAGATTGCACTTCACAAAAATTAATTCCCCCACTGGGCATCTTTAAATTCCCTAACTAATCCTATATTTTGAATAAGCAACTTCATTTAAGGACACAATCACCAAGTTCTTCAGTAGCGTACTTAAATATCTATGTGCACCTTTTCTCTTTCAAAGACATAAGGAAAACAAACATGTATGTTGCTTAGTTTTGTTGATTCTTTCATTTTTTAAGAAAAATAACAAATCTTATCTTGATCAAAATTCATTTTCATTGCTATGCCACTGCCCTATAGATCAAACAGTTTTGACTTAAGCAAGAATTTCAAACTGATCCAGGTTTTAAAACCCAATGATCACACCCATGAATTACTCTTCTAGACAACATTGTGCAACTTGTCATTAGTGCCTTTGGCTCCCTTTTATACTTATCTTTGTTGTTTCCCTTTCCCCTCTCTAGCTTAGTGTGTTTGCTGACTGATTCCTGAGATGACAACCTGTGACACAGAGCCTGATGACAATATTAAGCTCAAGGTTCTCATGAACATTGTAGATTTGTCAAAAACAAATTGTGGTAGGTCTAGCAGCTAAACCCAGAGAGCTTCTGATTCACTTGCCAGTGCCAGTTCTTCCACATCTTCCTGTTCTAAAATAGCCCACTCTTTCTAACAGTGCTCAGCACTGAATAATCTATAGTATAGCTCTTCTGAAAATAAGCAAATCAAAAACATTACCAAGGCCATGTTGGGCCTTTAGGTTAAGGAACATCAATGGCCTCAGTTACTGCATGTGTACACATCATTCCTGGGGTTCTTTGAATTTTAACCTGGAACTTCTGGCATCTATTATTTCAACTTATACCTGAAGAAATAAGAATGTTAGAATTTTGTACATCCTGTCAAGCTTGTTAAAAATGTTATTTTGTGCTAAGCCAGTGGATTTTGGGTGCCTGCTCAATGTTCAATATTATACTACATAAGTCATCCTCTATTAATGCTGGAGTGGAAATAATAAAAACCAGAAGCTTATACTTCTAAAATACTACAAAACAATTTACAGCTAACCACAGAAAAAAATTAGAAGTCTCAGTCCTTTATACAAGAGTTTTGATCTTTGCTCTTGCTCTGTAATTTATAAAACATTCAGACCTTGTCTAGAATAGCTTATGATTATACTGAACCACACACATTTCCAAGTCTCCTATGTAATGCAAGTAGCATTTGATGTATTTATTTTTCACCCTACATAGTTCAAAACTTAATAAGTGGGTGAAACTATGGAAGGTTAACCTATGGAAAAATTATTCTCAGTATTGGGCAGTATCATATTTGAGACATACTGAGTAAAAAATTTTGCAGTGGGAACAATTAACAGTTAGTTTACACTTACTGTAGTCAGCATTGTTCTAAATGGCTCATGTGTATTAGATTTTCTATATATGGTAGTTGTATTGCCCCTAACTTACCTATGAGGAAATCAGGGTTTAGAGGTTGTACAACTTGCCAAAGACTTAAGAGTTAGTAAATTAAGGAGGTAAGGTTAGAATAAGGTCTACATCACACAAGAGCTTTTGTTCCTAATTACTATAATATCCTTTATCTCAGTGCACTTAGACATTAGTTATGATTTTTAACTAAACAACTTGAAAGAAGCATTGTAGCTACAATCTTGTAACTATGTACCATATCTCAACTAATATCCCAGAATGACAAGGCCCACCTCCCAGGTGTACCCCCAAGACACTGAGTAGCAAATGTCTCCTATAGTCCTCAGGCATTAGTGTACAAGCCTAGTCTTCATGCTCCCAGAAGGAAGAGCAGAGATGTTTAATTAGAAGTTGGACTTAGCCACTGGGGAGATATTGTGGGAAGAACTGTATGTAAGGTAGAGTTGGGGATAGATTCATTTATTTTCTCTTGACATTCTTTTGTCCTATATAAGAAGATAAACATTGGAATATAAAGAAAATGTTTAATGAACTGAATTTGTGATTATTTTAACTAAATACTAAATGAAGTCACTATTGTCTCATTTCATTCTCTATTAACAATGGGAGCATTGATGGCTTTGTTAAACTTTTCAGTTTTTGAGGACTGGGGCTCACATATAAGTGAAATGATATGCTCATTTTAACATATCAATTCTGATTGCAATATCATAAAAATAGAAATGCAGTGTCTGATTTTTTAGATCCAGAAGGCTTTGTTTGTATGTCATTAAACTACAAAGTTTGAGATCTGTCTCAAGTCAAATGGTTAGTCTTCCTAGTTATTTGTACATCTTAAATGATTCATGGGCAAGCATTATTCAATACCTATGTGCCTAAAGCTACAAGGCTAGAAAGCTTTTGTAGTTGTGAAAGCTATGTACAGACAAGAGGTGCATATGTCCAATAATTCTTATACTGTTTTCTCATTTTCAAATCTTGCACATCCTCAAGAGACTTTGTCAAGGTCAAAAGCACAATGTGCTAACCAGGGAAAACCCCAGAGAAAGCCAAGATCTGAAAATAACAGCTGGCTTTCTAAAAAACGACAGCCCTGCTGACTTGGCAGACTTGGAATATTGAGGTGCTCTTTGAAAAGCAATAATAACCTTGCAGGATGGAGACAGGAAAACAAAAGGTCAAGAAAAAGAAAGGTGAAAGTAATAACTGTAAAACAAGACATAGCTAAAAATAAAAAGGAGGAGAGTAGAAGAATATCCAAAGAAAATAAAGATGCAAATAATTATGTGGCTAATAAGAGTATAACTTTGGATGTACTTTTAATATTCAAATTTTAAAGAATATTCTCCAAATTTTTTCTAGAGTTTATCAACAGCATTTATTAAAATACCTTTCTATGTGAAAATGAAATATATACATGCTGCTTGAAATGCCCCCAAAGTGGCATATCACAGGGGTTTATTTGAATAGAAACCATAATGCAAGACTGTTCTGAGTTTCTTGGCCAGAACAATGAGAGTGAATCATGCTATGTATACTTTTCCTGTAAATTTAATTGACTTATTCTATTAGAAAACCCGTTTGGGATTACCTTACTTTGAAATATTTTTGTTAATATTGATGAAATGATCATGGAACTGTGTCACTTTTCTTGACCTTTTTTCTACTTATTTAAGTGAACAAAAATGGAACCACAAAAATAGACTTTTTTGTGAAATTATCAAATTTCAGATGACTATAGAGTCTTGAATGCAATATTCCTTTTTGATTATAATGTATCATTTTCCTTTTTAATGCTTTAAAAGGTATGACTACTTTATAGATACCTTCTAGGTATTTCTATATGGTTCAAAAGAAAGTGCATAGAGAATATAATAAGTAACCAAAATTATTGTCAGATACTCTGTATATATAGCATATTTCATTACTCAAAATGTCTAAAAGAGCATTAATGATTTGTTTCTCTTTTTTTTTTCTTTTTAATTGTAGCAGAAAATGGCCCCCGTCTACTTGTGGAAGCAGAACAAGCCAAGGTGTTCTCACACAGAGGTGGCAATGTCACACTGCCATGTAAATTTTATCGAGACCCTACAGCATTTGGCTCAGGAATCCACAAAATCCGAATTAAGTGGACCAAGCTAACGTCAGATTACCTCAAGGAAGTGGATGTTTTTGTTTCCATGGGCTATCACAAAAAAACCTATGGAAGTTACCAGGGTAGAGTGTTTCTGAAAGGAGACAATGACAATGATGCTTCTCTGGTGATAACAGACCTCACCCTGGAGGATTATGGGAGATACAAGTGTGAGGTGATTGAAGGGTTAGAAGATGATACTGCTGTGGTAGCATTAGACCTTCAAGGTAGGTATCTATGAAGCATGTTAAACTTAGAAGTAGTAATTAATCCCTACTCATTCTTTCAGGAGGAGTAACGTGTAGTGGTTACCATAGCAATAATGTGAGAAACCCAAAGTCTATGCCCAGTGTGTTTTTCTATTCTTTTGTATTTCACACTCTGCCTGTGATTTCAGCTTTTATATTTGAAATGTACAATGGTTATGTGCAAAATTGAAGCTATTTGCAACTAGGGGAAACGTGTAGTGGAACTGAATTAATAATTTTAGAAATTGCCTTATGCTATTCAAAATTTAAATCCTATTATATAGTTATTGAGAAATGCAGGTTGGATTCTTTTTTATTATCCTTCTAAAATTATCTCTTAAGGATAAAATTATCCTTCTAAAATAATGGCAAGTTTCACAAAGGACATCTGCATTAAAATACATGTAACTGTGTTCTGTAAAATGACTGCAAAAACTTAATTAAAAAAAAAAACATGACCCCTGAATTTATTTAAATATTTCTTGCAAAAAAGTAATTCTTTTAATGGCTCAGAGACATTGAATACCAAATGGTAAAGGCATTTTAAGGGAGAATTTTATTTATTGAATATTTAATACATTTATTAGGTAAAAAATCTAACATGTATATAAAGCTATCCACATGTACAAAGCCACCTTTGCTTCTTCCATTCCTATGACAAATTTGTGGCTTCTGGAAAAAATACCTGTTTGTGTCACTGACATGCCACTGAAGACTTGCTTTTCTGAATCTCATAGAATTCCATCAAGCATGCATAGATTTATTACATAAAAAATGAACACAGTGTTATAAAGTATATTTTTGTGGAGCTTCCTGGTCTTTTTTTGTTGTAGTTCTTGGATCCTGATTACATGCTACCTAGTGCTGGTTGGTTTTTACTGATTCACATTCATATTAATCCATGCACTTTGGCATTATCCAAGATGGAAGAAGTAATTGACTTAGAAATATTGATAACTGATTTTGTTTATCAAAGAATCAGTGATAAGCTAATAAGTGATAAGCACAAGGTATGTCTTTTGCTATATGTCAGTCATGGCTTTCAGACTTTTATGCAGTTTGGTGCGCCTTGACTATATATATCCCAGAATATGTGAAAATTCTCCTCAGGTTATTGATCAAGTTTCTTCAAATTTTATTCTTATGGATTTTATTTTATTCTTGTGACTATCTTTATAGTTCTTTGTAATTTTATTTTAAAATACAAATCCTTATCTTATGTAGTACAGACCCTGGATATGGTAAAGCCTTGTGATTACTACCACATTGCTAGAAATAGCCTGCAACTAGAAAAAGCATTATACAAATAGAACAAGGATAATGTTAGAAGAATTTCTGTAGCTTGAGCTACAAGTATTCACTTTGACAATCAATACATGTAAAAATAATGATATTAACAACAAGAGATTTGTACTTCTAATCTTCCATTGTACTAATTTTCTGATGGTGAAAATGGGACCAAATATATAAACATAGTCTAGAACCTTCAGAAACAGAAGCAATTTCAGATATGTGCATGGCAGTGATAGGCACAGTGAGAAGCACTGGGAAATTATTTATGCTTCACATTCTCTACCTGTTTATTACTAAAAACATTTACACTATGAGGTTATAAAACAACTTGTTTTATATACGAAGATATGAAATCCTTTCAAATGTTTAATAATTGTTGTCTGCCAACAAATAAGATGAATTTGCTATGTGGTTATAAATTGTAAAGAGACTGTCCCCAACATAATGGCGTTACTAATCTCTTCATGTCACTTGCTATTGTTGTTTTCTACATGACATAGAAAAAGGGACTTATTAATCCCCTTTGTAGTGATACACACCAGTCCTTCAAGGAAAAAAAGAAGACTTTTTGATTATATTTTGAGGATAAATATATAAATATAAGGGATAAAGGAGTCAGAAATAATCATAAGCCTTTGTTTTCTATCCATAAAAGCGTAACTTTTCTTATTTTTGTAACACTGCATGAAAGCTACCACTTGGTCCACAATTCAGCTGAAGGAATTGCAAGGTTTTTCACAGAGCCAAGGATTTTGCAGTTGGATATTGAACTCTTAACTAGCTGGGATTAAAATAAGTACATAAATAAAATACTAACATGCACATAGTTCCAGAAGTGCCCCTTCTTGAGAAACATCTGGTTATTGAACTATGCACACTAAATGTGTCAACTATAGTGAAACTTTTAAAACTCTGGCTGAGTAAGACATAGAAGTTGACCTTGGTTAGCTTGGAATGTACTTTTTCCAGCATCATCAAACATTACTTAAAATTTGCTAAGTAAATCTTTTGAGTTGATGCAATAGTGAGTTGATTATTTATTTCTATGATTTAAGATTTTTAAATTTTTAACATAAATAACTTAGGAAATGTCCTTATGAAATCATGTTAATTTTGAGTGCCATTTAAATAAAAATATAATATATGGTACTTGAAACTAAATAAATGATATTACAGTAATACATGGTATCATGTATTAGTCAAGACAAAGTTACAGAAGAAAGTTCTCCTAAGGCCTGTGAGAATCTACTGCAATAAGGTATAGTGATCTGAAACCTGGAAGATTTTGCAGGTGACTTTAAATTTAAAAATCCTTTATTTTCCACTGCTATGGTCATAAGCCATTTGGAAAGAAAAGGCAACCTAGATAGTTTTTTATTTTTTTAGTTTGAGAAACTATGAGATTTTCTGTCACTTGAACTCCAGCTGACAAGGGACTCTCTACTGGATAAATTGAATATATTGCTTTTCATTGCCATTCCTGGAGTTGCTAAGGAAAGAGGACAAATGTCACATGGGGACAGGCTGCTTTATAGTAGTAGTTCCTTCCCAGCACTGGCTGGATTGCTTGCTGGGAGCCTGGGCCGAGCTCTTCTTAGACAGAACCTTCTCCAGGCTCTTCCTTCCCTCACCACAGCAGGAGTCAGTGGCAACCCAGAAGAGTCTTTTCCTTCTTCCTTTGGCTCTGATTCAACTTACAGATCCCTCAGCCAAGAACCTGAGAAGGCAGAATGAGATCAGGAAGGCTTCTTGGATCTCTGACTCGAGTGGTCATGCCAGCTGGACTGCCCTAGAAGGACAAACGTGTCCTACAGTGGCTTTCAGTGGATGAGACTTGATTTAAGGCTATTGAGACTTCTTTTTGTAGAAACTTCCAGGGCAATTTATAAAACAAAATAGGCTCTACAGTGTCAAAGCACATATGACACCATTCATCAAATTAGTGTGCCAGTGGAACAAGTCTTTGCACTCCACATGCTAAAATACTAGTTCTTTTAGAAAATATTCAAAGATATAATCACTCTATGTTAATTACCTTTTGTTAACTCTGGGGAAGATACTTGGGCACATGCATTTCTTAATGTCCAGTAAAGAATATTCATTGATCTCTTAATCTAATAATACTTATCCTTTAAGAAACTGTGTAGAAGGTTATGAGACAGCTCAATCACCTCTTATAGTCTGAGCAAAATAAATACTTTTGAAAAGTCATTGCATCTTCCCAGGCAGTCAAATACCAAGTTACACTGTCTACACTTGCTCGTGGATTTTGTTTGCTAAAATATAAAAATTAATTCTTCAGTATTAGCTAATCAGTTAACAGATATCTATTCTGTACCTACCTTTTATTGTCTATTTGTACTGAAAATATCTAACCTTAGTTTTAGTATAACAATATATAAATGTGGAAGTAAAATATTTTTGAGTAAAAGCCCTTATTTTTAATTATATAGAAAAGCAGTAAGATTAAAGATGACATTAAAAGGTGAGACAGATAAGAGTTGTGATGCTTTTCATAGGTGTGTGCCTTGCTTACAGACCTGTCTAATTAATATGAAATAAGACTACTCATTTAAGTTTTTGTTAGGTATGCAAATTCACTTTAGAGCTTCCTCAAATAAGAAGACCCCCCAAGTAACAGTTACTTATCTGAAAGCTTTTAAGAGCACATGTAAAAGGAGGTACAGCTATATCTATAGCTCTATATAATTATATCTATATCTATATATGTATGGGACAAATCATTCAAGTTGTTAAACTAAATAGCTAATTGTGAGATGCTCAGGGTTGAAAGCTATTTGAGGCAGAAATGAGAAGTCATTGTAAGTTGACCAAAACTATCTCATCTGATGATTTCATTATTTTTTCCATTAGTCAAGTAGATTAGCTAAGCATTGATTCTTTCTCCCACTAATAAGCCCTTGTTTTCTCTTTTGGATAGGTGTGGTATTCCCTTACTTTCCACGACTTGGGCGCTACAATCTCAATTTTCATGAGGCACAGCAGGTTTGTCTGGACCAGGATGCTGTGATCGCCTCCTTTGACCAGCTCTATGATGCCTGGCGGAGTGGGCTGGACTGGTGCAATGCAGGCTGGCTCAGCGATGGGTCTGTACAGTACCCCATAACAAAGCCACGAGAGCCCTGTGGTGGACAGAACACAGTGCCTGGCGTCAGGAACTACGGGTTTTGGGATAAAGATAAAAGCAGATATGATGTTTTCTGTTTTACATCCAACTTCAATGGTAAGATGTTAACTGTACTACTTTCTTTCTTACACCAGAAACCAAGCTACACTTGGCTTTTAGTCCTATCCAGTTTAATTATTTTTCTTTTTGAACTCGGGGCTTCACACTTGCTAAGTAGGTGCTCTACCACTTGAGCTGTGCCTCAAACCCTGTCTTATCTACTTTAAAAGACAAAAAAGAAAAAAGTAAGAAAAGAAAAGAAAGTATTGCTCTAGTTTGATATAAATATCCACAGAATGTCATAGTGATAAATATCCACAGAAGTCAAACAAAAAGTGCATATTTCTGGTACTTTAAGGTTTTAGGGCATCCAATTTTTATTATGAAATAGAACTATCACATGGTATTGGTTCTCTTTCTTATTGCCATAAGTGATATTGCTACTCTTTGCCCTCAATGAAATATGGCTCTCTCAATTGAAGGAAGGGTGCATCTGTATCATGCATGCCCGCCCTCTCTCAATTACAGTATGACAATCAGAAAAATTCAGGATAAAGGGAGTAATGAGCAAGAAAAATAAAGTAGAGCTAACGTTGGAAGTGAAAACCAAAGAAAGGTTGCATCCACACTGATGACTGACTTATTACAGTAGCCAGATTCTGACTCAAAAAATAAAAGAACAAAAAATAATTTTAAGATGGTGACTGCAAAGCATGCAGACCACTAAACTAAGTGTGAGGCTTGACCAACTGTCCAGGTAGCCCATGAAGAAAATCCTGGACCCAATCACTTTATATGTCAAGTACACAATTTGGGGAAAATAGAAAAGAATTGGGATTTAACAAAATTTATAAAAAGACAGAGAGTAACTATTTTTCTTTATGCTGGCCATATGATCTGTGTTGCAGCTACTCTATGTAGCTCTGTATGCTGTAACACAATAGCAGCCCTACACAATATTCAGCAGATGGATGTGGCTGTGTTCCAGTAAAACTTCATTTACAGCAGTGGATAGCAGGACAGATTTGACTCATGTACTATGGTTTGCTGACCTCTGGTTTGAATGATAGAAATAGCACCGTAGTTAATGTTCCAATACCTTTTCCAAATCACATCATCTCATCAGAGAACTGCCAAGTATTAATTTATACTTCAGTAAATGTGATGTGGGGACAGCACATTATGATATGTACTCAGATAAAAGGATATAATTATATCCTACCTGAAACTAAGACGACTGAGAAAATCTCCAGTCTGTGCATCACTTCAGTCAGTTGAGGTCATATTTTATAAATTGTATGCATATTTAATGCTAATTAATCTCAGTAATTAACACTAGGCAATAAATGGTTGAGACTTATCTTTCTTGTGGAATCACAAAATGGTAAGGTATCAAGATGGCTCTAAAGATGGAAGTTGAGAAAAATCAACAAATTCACCTTTGATAGTGAGTGATCACAGACTGGGTTTACATTCTGAGTATGTGTTATTTGTGGCAAGTGACTTCCTGTATTTTATGCATTTTCATACTGTAGTCTTTGAATGAGAATAATGTCTTATTGATACCTATAATGAAAAGAACTTGAGGGCTTTTGATTTTTTTTAAATGGACTTTTATGTCAAGGATGGTTTTTGATCCTTTCACATTCAAATTTGCCTCTCCAGAAACTTGTGCTGGGGTTCAGTCTCACTACAGCTAGAATTTAAATAGCCCTTGCTTTTAACATGGAATTCCGCCTTCTATAGTGCCACAGAAGGGCTCTTGTGTCACTAATTAGCTAACAGAAACTGCACCTGCCATCTCCCTTTTCTTTTTAAAGTTATAAAAGGGCATGTCTAAACACATATTAAGGGGCAATGGAAAAATGAATTTAATGTAGAGTGACCTAGGAGTATTACAATTAATTGACAATCCTATGTTCCCAAAAATTTCAGACATTCCTCTGCTTTTTCCTTCATTGAGAATCACTCTCGATGTTTGGCTCCTTCCATCTCTGCGTGACTCAGTAACAGACTGCCCATTGACTCTGTCTCCTTCTCTCCACAGGCCGTTTTTACTATCTGATCCACCCCACCAAGCTGACCTATGATGAAGCCGTGCAAGCTTGTCTCAATGATGGTGCTCAGATTGCGAAAGTGGGCCAAATATTTGCAGCCTGGAAACTTCTAGGATATGACCGCTGCGATGCGGGCTGGTTGGCTGATGGCAGCGTCCGCTATCCTATCTCTAGGCCAAGAAGGCGTTGCAGTCCTACTGAGGCTGCAGTGCGCTTTGTGGGTTTCCCAGATAAAAAACATAAGCTGTATGGTGTCTACTGCTTCAGAGCATACAACTGAGAGTGCCCCTAGAGAGCGTCAGTTTTAGAGTTCTTAAGAACATGTGAAAGGTTTTTTTTCAATATGAACTCATGCAAGTTACCAAAACTGTGATAACCCTTTTTTACTTACTGTAAAGAGTCATTTTCATAAAGACCAATTCATTAATTTGTTTTTGTAAAACTGTCAGTCAATGTGTATTATAAATTAATATAATTTTAAAAGAAGTTCTACATAAGAAGGCTTTAAAGCCAAACTGTTTAAACTACATCTTTCCAACAAAGTATCCTTTCATGAACAGGCATGCAATAGCTTGAAAACTGCTAGGATTATGTTAAGGAAAGCAAAGCTACTCAGAGCAGCAGCTTCCACAAGCACAAATTTTACACATTTCTACAATTTTGAAATACAGTACAATAAACAAATTAAAGCAACAGATTTGAAATACAGGCTTCTTTCCATGAACTGAGATTCTAACAGGTTACACAAAACTCAGTTTCACAAGGGAACAATCTACATTTTTCTAAACGTTAGTATTTCAAGTCTCCAGTAGACAAAATACTTTACTCTTTAAAATCCTGCCTTTTCAACAAAAAAAAATCATATGAACTCAAATGTTTAGAAATAAGCACGGTTAAAATTCCTAATAACCCCATTTATATGAAGTATGAGACTTAAATAAGCAGATGATATTTAACCAATGAGAGACTTGTACTTTCTTCCACTTAACATTATATATGTCTGAGGAGAATTGTTTTATCTTTTGAGTAGCTTTACTGTGTTATATTTAAAGGGCCCTTTGCTAAGCAGCATTTAGCACCTACTCAGGGCAGTTATATAGACAAACTGCTGGACAGAAAAATTGTAAAATTTAGCAGCTTGATTTTATGTTAGCCTCTGATATGTTATTATCCTATAAAAAAACTTTAAACTATTTAATATTCCTTTCTTATTTACATTACATGGAAAAATAAAATCATAAAAGGAACGAATAACTGTACACTTGTATAACCAAAAAACAAAGACTCAAATTTCAAAATTCTTATTCCTATTTGAATATACACTAGAAAACCCAAATGGTACCTGTATTTGGGGGGGGGAGTAAAAAACATAGTTCTAAACTGTCTCCCAAATAGAAATGTGGTCAATGTCAATTTCCTTGCTGGTGATCATTACACATAAATGAAATTCTGATGCTATCATCAAAGAGTTTACACTAAAATCTTCTGGGCTTTAAATGAGAAGTCCATCTTCAGAAAAACAACCTTCATATTAGCAGCTCCAATCTTAAATAAATCTTTGTTTTCCAATATTTTTATGACGCTTGAGACCCCCACAGGGACCAATATTTGTATTCAAATTACATTTCATGGTTTCCCATTGTTTCACAATGAGTTCTAAAAAATGGGATTTAGTACAATAATCCAAGTATGACCTAGTTGGTATGCTTTCATGACTGTCTTTATGTAGATTTTTCTCCCATGAACATGAGTAAATAAATCTGTTTCCTGAACTGATTGTGATTGCATTTAAAGCTCTTTAATAATTCTAATACATTTACCCTACAAATATAGAGTTATATGTGTAACAGGTATAGAACAATTGGAAGTCCATGGAACTACAATTACATTAGTATGTTACCTAGAAAAAATATTGTAAATAAAAGTAGATCCATTCTTTTATCAAAAGCATACATGGAAAATTTCAGATGCTTTAATATTAAAAGATGACAATGTATGCATGCACATTTTTAAGTTAGGCTGGTTATGCAAATTATACAAAACTATAAATCCAAAGAGACTGTGAGGTTTAACTCAAACACTGCTGGTATAAATAGAAATCACATTTCTAAGTTAAAGATACCTGAGTGGTCTTAAGATAAGATAAATATACTATTTAAAGAGGGGACTTTCTCTAAAATAGCAAATTTAACACCTCAGATATGGGGGTTAGCTCATTGGAGGAAAACTATACTTAAATAATTGTTACTTATATTACAAGAATTTTTTCAGAAATGTAAATGGGAAAAAGTTCCATTGAAGCAGGTATATAATTTACAGTTACTGTCATAGAACTCTATCTTTATAATGTTAAGCATAGTAGCATTTCTTAACTTTTAAATACTTAGTATAGGAATTGGTGCTGATCAAATTCTCTGGAGTGACTGTTAGCTGATTCAAATCTATACCAATTGCACACCATTTTTCCATTCTTGAAAAAAATCTTAACAGAATGAACACTGCTAAGCAGAATTTTTAACTTCTGTTTTCATCCAAAGGACCGGAATCCTCATGTCCTTTGGACTCCTAACTGAAGAAGGGGTCTTTTTAATGTATATTTTCCTACTCCATTCTTCATTGCCCAAAATATCTCACAAAGAATGTCCAAAAAAAGAAGGTATGCTAGTAAAATTCTTAAAAGAAAATTATATAACACTGACTAATATAGAAATTGTTTTTTCAACTTTGATTCCCAGAAAGGAATGAGAGGAGTGAGAAGGAAGGCTGGGATGTATAATGTTGTTTTCATCATTTTGTCTATAATTAACTCTGTGGCCCATATGAGGAACAAAAGCATATCTACAAATCTGTATGAGATACATACCTACATTTGAAACTCCAAACAAAATGAAACAATTCACATAAAATACAATATAAGAATGAAAACAAGTTGCCACATTAATACTGGAAACATCTTTCAATGACTGCTGCCACATATCTTATCACAGTAATTTTTAGCCAAACATAATATTTGTAAATTTAAACTTTCTCTCATAGAAAGGGGGCTGGTACCTGTTCAAGTGTTATTTTACACAATAATATAGTTGCTTATTATTTTGGCAATTAATAAACTCAGAGAAGATTCCAATTTGGTTGCTGGCAGCCATACTGGATTTCTTTATTTCAGTACTTCAAAGAATATGGTGGTCTCATGGAGTAGTTGACTAAAAAGGAATCAATTATCAGTTTTTAGCATGGAATATATTACAAAAGATCAATGGACAACTGACATAGTTTGGTTGAGAAGTTAACTGTATCATAGCTCACTACTGCCAGAATAGCAATGGTATACAACAAAGGAATGAATATTACAAAAAGTTATTAAGACACCTGATTAAAAGAAATCAGTATTTAAAGGTATTTAATACCTACTAGCTACACATTTGAGAAGAACCAATCTGTATTACAAAAAAAATGTTTTCATTTTCTGTAAGACACAATGAACTGGCAAACAAACATTAAAAGTCAATTTTGTGTTACTGCAGTATCTTTTGATTATTCTGAGTTGTAGAAATCAGGTTCTTTCTTTGTGTCAAACTCTGTAAATGCATTGCTTCAAGAAAAAAGACATTTAATCTTTTCTCATTCTGACTTATTTGAGTTCAAATTGTAAACACATAGCTATTTTGATTTCCTAGAATTTTGCAAAAAATTAAATCAGCAATAGTACTATCTTATAATCTGTTGGGTTCCCCTTTTTATAAAGTCAAAGTATGATTTATTTTGCTCACCAGGTCATCAGTCTCAGAAATCTCTTGTGCTGAGTAAATTAATATAGTTGAGATACTTTTGACATCAATTATGAGTATTGAATTAAAAGAAAGATTTTTATGTTTATAATCAAGTCCTTTTTTCCAGCTCTTTACACTCTAATATCAAAGAACATATTTCCAGTATTTCTATCTGAAAAATAGATTCTGAATTTTCCTAATATATAGAAGTGTATTCTGTATACCAGGATGCAATGATTTGTTGCTAGTGCAATGGCTTGAATGAAAACATATTTAACTAAGTTCAAGTCACTGACATTTAAACAAGAAAATGTATGTCAAAAATTTCCCATACTCATTTGGAATATATTGAAGAGACTTGGAGAAGAAAAATTCCAGGGATATTAAATCATCTTCATTTAGTGTGTAAGTTCTTACAAAGGTGAAGGACATCATCTTTGTTTTGCCAGCATGTTAATGTATTATTACCATCTGCTCACATACAAAATCTTTGTGGTGACAATATTGAAGGGTCTTATGGAGTTCCATAATGCTTAATAAATACACGTTAAACTGTTGAAATGTAATGTCCTTAGTTCACTACCAAGAAGCAATTCTTAAAAGTAAGACTAGTTTTGAGTAGAATGGAAACTGTGTTTAGTGGCCAGATGTGTAAAGAGAGCAATAAAAAGGAAAGGATTATTGTTGAGCATGCAGGAGAAACTGATGCATGGACTGGTGGAGTGGCACAAGTGGTAGAGTACCTGCCTAGCAAGTATGAGGCCCTGAGTTCAAACCCCAGTACTGAAAGAAAGAAAATGATGCAACCTTTGCTTCTGAGTAGGTAGCATGCTGTAGAACATAACAACAGACTATATGCTCCAATATTCAAGAGAAAATTCACTGCACTACAGACATTTTCCCTTCCACCAAGACACCAAGTCAAAGTTATTCTTATCCAGTTTTATTCATTTGTTTTTGTATTTCTTTCAAGCCAGTAAAGTTGTATCCATAGTCATTCATCATGTAAAACAAGTTGTGCCACCCCAGGATGTGATTCCATGTCTTTTGTGGAATCAAGCAGTTTTCCTTCTCAGTTTATCTCTATTCCTTTCCTGTCCACTGAGGTGGTCTACCACTTCTCATGCTTCAACTAATAAAATTTGGCTTTTCAACTTACTTGGTATCTGACTACAGTCTGAGCTTTGTTAAGTCAGCATCTGCCTAAGGAGGACAGAGAACTGAAATTCTCATTTATCTAATAATGAACCAATTGACACTAAGAACAAATGTAGGATTCTTGGATCATAATGGAGTTCGAAGAATATAATATCCCAATGATTTTTCTAAGGATGGAGTCTAATCACTAGCTTCTCATCCTCTTTAAAATATCTGATTTCTTTTTTTCTTTTAGACTTATTTTTTTTCCTCTATTTGATTTTGATCAATGAAATGGGTGCTTGCCAAAAACCCACATATCTGTAGGAAGCAAAGAAAGATAAAAAGCAAGTGAGTTTGAGGTTTTCGAGACTATGAAAGGCTTAAATTGAAAATGCTGTGAATCTTGCATGTGAATCTAAAAACAGAACTGAAGAACCACTCCTTTATTTTGCTGATAAACACATTTGTGTGTAATGATTGCTGGGAGCCAAGTGAAAGATAAATAATGTCCTTTGTGATTCTTCCTGTGATCGAGTTCTGCCAAATTGAACATCCTTACTCAATAAAAGATGCTTGCTCCTGTGATCAGAGCCAAATTTCAAGTGGCTGAGAAGCAAATTCTGCTCTTTAAATAAAAAGAATGTTTTTAAAAGCCATTCTTTGAGTTAATGCACATGAAAATTAAGAAATCTGTTAAACTAACATCAGAATGCTTTCACCTGCAGAGCATTGAAAGTCACTGAAACCTGAGTCCATCTCCCAAGATTAAGATCAGGGGAAAAACCTGAACATCAGGATCTTGAACTTACTCCCATTACCATGACAACCTGTACCCCTGTTGACTCTAATGGGAAACCAGGGTTGAGAGTCTTAACAAATTTGAGGGTAGGGAAAAAAATCATTCCACTGATATATGATTAGGTTTATACTTATAG